AGGTAGAAAATATCACTAAAGGCAACATCACTTAGCATAAATAGCTAGTCTTGTGGATGAAAAATCATCCAGGCATCTACAGATTCAGGTAAACTTTATAGTTTCTTTCCAACCGCTATCTCATTAACTGTTGTTTCTTTGTAACTCCTAATTTTTGGAACTGCTAAACAGCATGTTGAAAGGAGTGGTTCCAAAACACAGAGAAAAGTTTTCACTAAAGTCCCTCACCTAATATCCCTGAGTAAGCTTAATATTTGTACGAGAAAACAACGTCCCGTTATAGATCAGTACAAGAATGGGAAGCAAAGTAGGAATAAGTGGACAGTTCTCACAATGGAAAGAAGCAAAATGTCCTGTAAGAATCTAAATCAGAGTGGATATGTTTCACTTTTTCAAAAGTCAAACTTGGCATAAGCAGCAAGATAGCAACGTTTGCCAATTACTAATTATTTAGGAGGGTAATCATGCTTCTAAGGCTGTATTGGTGCATGTATAAGTGGAGGAGGCATTTTGAAAGCTAACTGGCATAACATTTGTGCCAATTTTGCACTTCCAAGGCCTCAAACAGGTGCACCATGAGCTAGCAGTAGCTCCTGGTAAAAGTGCAGAAGCTTATTTCCTCCCCCTCTCCCAAGACCTCCCTCTTCAGGGCCAACATCGTCTCCAAGGTCCCAATACAGCCCTCTGCTTGGTCCATAAGCTTGTCTCCCAGTCAGCAGCATCCCTTTTCATATTACAGTGGTGCCTCGCTAGACTATGATAATCCGTTCCACTAAAATAGCTGTTTAGCTAAATCATCGTCTAGCGAAAAGCATTTTCCCATTGGAATGCACTGAGACCTGTTTAATGCATTCCAATGGGGAAGAATCGTCATTGTCTAGCAAAGATCGGCCATAGGAAAGCCGCTTTGCGAACTGGTGATCAGCTGTTTAAATAGCTGTCTTGCGAAGCTTAGGTCCCGAAAACACCCGTTTTGCGAGCGCGGAGGGAGCTGTCAAAATTGTTGTCTAGCGAAAATTGGTTTGCGAAGCAGGGATCAAACATTGTCCAGCGAAATACCCCCATAGGAATCACTGCTTTGCGAATTGCTATAGCGATCACAAAAAGTCAATGTCTAGCGAAAAACCTGTCATGCAGGGTAACTGTCTAGCGAGGCACCACTGTATAAAAATCTGAGATAATCCAAGGCAAGGAAGCCATGTGGGTGGCACCATGAAGCATGCACCGTTGGGGAAGGCAGCATTAAGCAAAGCATTTGGCCAAGACATCAGGTCAGCTGTCCCCCCCCCCAAGAAAATGCTGCATATAAGTGTGATCTAAAGATAAGTGGAACTGTTGGTTGAAAAAAATAACATACTGTACAGCAGAGTCTTGTGAGTATCTGTTTAGATATGCGACTACTTCTGCTATATTTTAGTTTGGTTTTCTTCTAATACTGTACAGCCAAAATCCTATTGCCAATGCATAAGAAAAATTGTTTATGCCTTGGTGGCACAATGGCATTCATTTGCATTTCTGAGTGTGTGCACACCTACACATCCATTGTTTTACTTTTTTAGTACTGTATATCTTAACACTTCAGCATGAAGATCTTGCTAGAAGTTTCCCCTTTTGTTGAATTTAAAATGAGGTTTAACTGTGAAGATGTATCGGTAGCCTTTCTGAAACTTTACAAGGTATTTAGAAGTCCTTTAAAAAAAAATACAGGACAAAACAAAATAAGTCACAAACACAGAATCAAAAAACGTTGTAGAACTCTGCATTAATATAGATTTAGCAGAGGTAGCCGTGTTAGTCTGTGCGTGCATGTCAGGCAAAATTTAAAGAAATAAAGAACAAAAATAAAAAAGACAAACATCTTGTTTTACCTTAAAGATTTACTAATATACTTTCATACGGTTTTTCGTGGATCAAGTCACTTGGACTTTTTTTCTTTGGATTTTGATTAATATTTTAGTTAATCATACTCCATATAATATGTACTTTTATCATGTGAAAAATTTTGTTTACCAGAAACATTATGAACAGGTCATCAACTCATGACATTTGCTACTGCTGTCAAGGGAAAACAAGTCTTTTTGCACAATCAATTATCCTGAGATAACCTCTGAACTTGCTTTCAACTGTTGAACATGTAAACAAATCTGAGGTTAGAAGTAAACTGAAGGAGACCATCAACAACCATCGCCCATTCCCTGCCCCCATAAAATACTGCTGTATCTCATACATTGTAGTCACAATTGCACAGAGAAGTATGAACCAAGATTACTAGTGAGAGTATGCAGATCAAGCGTCTGGAATTCTTTGTTGAGGAAAAAAAAATCCCAGCCTACAAATCCCAGGACAATGACCCAACATAGCAATCTCTGTGCAAATGCATTTTTACACAGTGTGTCTCTTTACTGTGTTTTGATATCAGACTTACAGAGAACAGATTTCACACAGCTTTTTTTTTTTACAAAAAGTTCTCAAGAGAGACAGTGTGGCATAATGCATAGAGTGCTCAGCTAGAACTCAGAAGACTTGGGTTCAAATTTCTACCCCATAGAAACTCATGGGGTAATCGTGGTAAAATATCTCTTGAACATCTCACATACCTAAAAAGGGGATACAATTAAGACTGCTGTAAGTCAGAAGCAACTTGACATCACGTAACAGAAACAGAGCTTTTTGGTAACATGTAGAGTGATATTCAGACAACCTTTAATCAAGCAGGAGGTCTGCCTTACACACGAGTGCCGAGTTTAAAGCTTAAGTCTTTTAGAATTATGCCTAATAATCTTGTGAATGCTTGCTACAATCTTGATTATATTTCCGAACTTCAAACATGACTAACTGCTGTAGAAGTAGCAGTTGGGTTAGCCAACTTCCCCCAACACAAATTCAGCCAAAAACATAATAGTATGCTTTTCCGGGGAAGAGGAAGATTAGTCAACAAGCCACAAACCCTGCCACAGATGTAGTCCAGCATCACTCTTCTCAGTCTGTGAAGTTAAACATGCCCATTGCAAATTATTTAAGTTACATCCAAACAGGCATTCCTAAAGTAGCTAGATTCAGCTTCTGCTGAAAGAAAGTAGCAGCTGACACAAATGCACAAATGCAGTAAAGCATATTCATTGACAGCTTATTTTAAGACAGACTGCAATAACTGAAGTAAGCAACAGAGCACAAGATTAGATTTCTCTCTAGGAGAATTGGAAAAGCAACTTATTTCTCTGTGAGGCACATGCTTTTGTGGGAGTAAGAAAAATTCAAATATCAGAAGTTTGCAGAATTTCATCCAAACCCTGTTTTCTCACCCCAAACACTCTTCAACCCCGGGAGCAAATTTCATATAATCCTGAATAAAAGTGCTGCTGTTGTCTGGACCCATGCTTCCATACATGAAGAATCACTTCTCTAACCAGGTAAATATAACCCTAAGAAAAGCATTGTTTTCCTTTTATAAAACACACTTTTTATGTCCCAAAAGTGTTGAACAGACAATTTAACATAAGAGAAATAATCCAAGCTGGTAGCAGCTGAAGTCAATTTTAGTTATAGCAAATATTCATAATGATATGCCTACATTTCCATCAAAACTATTTTCACATCTTCTTTCTTTCTTTGAAGATGTGAAACAGTGCACAGGTAAATGAATTGCTACCATGTATTCAAAGACAGGGCACTGCAGTACTTCAACTCAGCAGCCTACCTCCACCTCCTCTAGGGTAGCACAGCAATATTTTATCTCAGACATCATTAATCTCTCTGCCACTGAGCTATATATGATACACATTATGTTTCAAGTGCTGGGAGAAGAGATTGGTTTGCCATGCGTGTCTAAGACATTCTAGCTCCTCTGCAGCCTGATTTTTTGTAACCACTGCTGAGCAAATTGCATCCAACCTAAACATCGGCAGAGCTATTTGTCCAGTGGCAAAGCAGACCCAAATCTTAGCATTAATCTAATGTCCTGCTGCCATCCTTACAAAGGTATATCAGTAAAAATGCCATTAATTAGACTTGCTTCTCACCCCCACCCATCCCCAAAGGAAACATATTGACAGCAGAATACAAATATAAGGAGTGCCTTATTGTACAAAACCAAGATCTGCCTACTTTAATATTGTGCATACCATTAACCTAGAGATCCTCCTGCGGTTTTACTAGCAGAGTGCAAAGGAAACCACCTCCCTCTCTTGTGTATCCTCAGTTGTGTGATTCAGAGAGATGTGACAGTCACCACCAAACAGTAACAGCGGGCTAGCTAACAAGTACTTGTAGGTTCCTGACGTTATAATGTGTGTGCCTTCATGCAATCCTTCAGAAAAGTAAAGGGAGCCCACAGAGTGGTGGTGGTGGGGAAGAAACACCAACAAACCCACACTTGTCTGCTATTACCACGGTGAGGGCACTATGCCTTCCCAAGGCAGGTGCTCAAGGGCACACAAACGCCCCACAGAGAAGCTCACACCCTACATCCCGGGGAGAACATCTCATGCCTTTTCCTTTGACTCCCGCCAGCCCTGAATGGGAGGCTGCACTCTCTCCCCCCCCCCAAAAAAAAAAGGCTTAGCCAAAAAAACCTGATTATGAAAGCAAGCCCAGAGAGAGAGAGAGAGGGCAGGGTGGGGAAGGGGCCAGGAGGAAAACTGCGCCGTGCCAACAACGGGGGTGGGTGGGAGTGCCAAGGCACCCTTTTCTGGGCTCGCAGCGGGCGGGGGGCGGCCGAGGTGGGGAGAAGCGGCAGCGCCCCCTAATCCGNNCCCGGGAGGGGGGGGCGCACAGGAAAAAGCCTGGCCCGCGCATATGACAAGAGGAGAAGGGAGACTACGAGGCGGAGGGAGGGGAGGGGAAGAGGCGGCCGCGGCTAAAGCACAGCCTCCCGAGGGCCGAGAGAAGGCAAACCCCCTGCCTTCCTCCTCCTCCTCCTCCTCCTCCTCCCGCCACCACAGCCGCCGCGCCCCCCCCCCAAATAATCAGGAAGCCAACGCCGGGCGGCTCCTCTCCCTTACCGAGTGGTTGACTCCCCACATGAGAACGCTGAGCAGCGGGTCGCTGGCCCGGAACAGCTTGACTTTCTGGGCCACGAAATGCTTCTTCTTGGTCTTGGTTTTACTCGCCATCACGGACACGATGTTGCCCGGAGCCGCCATGGTAGCCACGGAGGAAAGCAGCAGCCTCCCCCCCCGCCGGCGGCGGCGGCGGCGAAGGAAGGAAGGAAGAAAAGGGGCGGCGAGACTCTCCGCACCCCGGAGCCGCTGCAAGCAGACGAGGAGGAGGAGGAGGAAGAGGAGGGCGGGTGGAGGAAGGAGAGGAGCGGAGGAAAGCTCAGCCGCCGGGCCAGGCAGGCAGGCAGGCAGCGAGAGCGCTGACCCCCCCCACAGCAGGCGCTAGTGCAGCCGCAGGAGGAGGAGGAAAGCGGCGGGCTGGTCGCTAGCCTTGCAGCTGCTGCTGCTGCTGCTGCCGCTGCCGCTGCTACCACCACCGCAGGACGATGCCAAGCGCATCCTGCCCGCGCCGC